CGGTGATATATATCTTGAGTTAGAGAACGAAAGGTATTAGACATTATTTATCTCAGATTTTGTATTTCATTGTTTAAGTTATCAATATATCTTATAGTCTAATGTATATCAATTGTACCTTTGTAGGGGATGTCGCTTGCCATGTCGGTTAAAGCATCCTTATGGTATTCAGTTCACTAATGGTTTATCAAAATTTGATGGTGCTATTATTATTTGTATCATTCGATTTGCAGAACTCAAAATTTCGAAAGGTGAATAAATTACTTTTAAATTTCTTGATACACTATGTGTTTTTAGTTAATTCATTTTATCATCTAATTATTTGTCGCTTGGTATATTTTTTTGTTGTGTTTTACAAGGTTCTTGGATAGTTACGACGGCTTATAGTTGTACACAGCTTATGTTGGACCCAGGTCTTCCTGAAGTGAACAATCTATTGAACTTATGGAAGAAGATCGTTGACGATTAATTCTTAGACCCGTTGATTTAATTGTGTTCATCAAATTGGGAAATTCTATACGATATTATATATTTTATAGTTTAATGATTTGTTATTCGATGTTATAATCATTATGTTATTTAAGTTAGCAAAAAAAGAAGTTATTCTTTGGGATATTCTCGGATGGTGGATCTTATGATTAATTTTGTGGTGATACTCTACTCAATAAAAATATATATTGGAGAATTTTATTTGTGACGTTTTCTTTTAAATATTTTATACGTTCTTAGTTACGTAAGTATATAGAGATAGGTAAAATAAAATTAAATACCGAGTAGATGTATGTAACTAAAAACTCATCGTCGTATGATCATAATAATTTTATTGTTAAATTTCCGATTATTTGTGGCAACTGAATATTATATAGATTTTTTGGTACTCTAATACCCTAGAGAATATTCGTTTTGATATATACGTGTTCATATTTTTGTTAACCAAAAATGAAAAAAGTAAATATTCTGAAAAAAACCTAGAATATTTGGTTATATATACATGTACCGTCATTGTTGTTATTTACACAGTTCCCTTCATCAAGATTTTTCCTTAGGCATCTACAATGAGTTCATCAGGTACATGGTATATTGTATATGTAATTTGTCATTGGTTTGTGTTTATTGGGTTTCATCTTTTTGTAAATTGTAATAGTAATTCGTATTTTTAACCTACTTATGTTTTATAGATGCAGCCAAAGGTAGACGCATTCATTTGAATATGTTACCTTTTAATGTCCAGAAGCTGGGATTTTGATAACCGATGATGACGCGTTTCGTGTTCCTCTTATAAATTCTAAATTCACTGCATGGATGCACTGCAACAAAGAGTTCCCAGAAAATAGGGTGGTTTTGTACTCGGAGGTTCCATCCGAATTTGTTTGGGACCCTAGAGAAAAGTTATGGAGGCGACGTGTTGTTGGTGACCCAGTCTCCAGGACTAGCTGAATGATAGTTTTCATAGGTTTTGATCTAGGTTTTTTTACGTATTAGTTTTATTTTCTAAAGCTTCGATTTGTGATTTAATATGTCGTGTTTCTATATTTAAAATATATACATTTTATTGATAAAATTGATAAGTTTTTATTTGTATGTGTTTTTATTAAATTGTTTATAGAGTTTAGTGTTCTTTGGAAAAGAAATTATGATATTCATATTGTGATAATACTAACTTATCATCGTTGATACTGATTATCCGCCAATTATTTGCCCGAATATTATAGAATTTATAATAAGGCAATACGATATAACAAAAATGTCAAATAGACAATTCGTAATGAAAAAAAGAAGAATATTCAATATATCCTTTTATTCTGAAGTGTGTATAAATAGTAAACGACATGTGATTACAATGCCGCCTTCATAATATAGTCTTGGTGTTTTTATTAAAAGCACTTTTGCTAGCAATTGTCTTGCTTCTATTGAGGCTGTTGATTTTGCATTTAAACAAGATGGCTTATTTCTTAACTATTGCCACACATAAAAAATATGATCAAAATCTGTTTGGGATTTCTGATCTTGATCCACAAAGCATATATAGAAAACGAAGTTGAAAGTCTTGCGTAAATTTAACCGATTTCCCAAACGTGACCGCACGTTAGATTTTATAATGTGCAACTGGAAGGTAAAATCCATTAATCAATTTTCTTTTAGTTTTTGTAGTTTTAAATGTTTGATTTTTCAGGGACAAAAGATTTCTGTTACCGCACTGTTTGAATTTTATGATAAGTATTCTAATATATGTCAGGAGGGAGACTGGATACTTTTAATTAATTTTAACCTATTACCTGTCACTGGTGAGTGTAAGACAAGTACACATCCTTATATGATCCAGATTACAGTTGATACAACGTGTGCAAGCTCTTATACGCTAGATATCAATAGTTATTTTTTGTTTTCCGCTTATGAAGATATTATGAATGGGACTATTGATTTTAGTTTTTGTGTCGGTGAGTATTCAGTATATCTTTCTTAGTTTGCTGGCATTGTATGATTTTGTTTATTAATTGATGTTTTGGGTTCTTACAAAACCAGATTTAATCGGTAAAATTGTCAATGTTGGAAGCTTTCACGATAGAATTAGATCTTTTGATTGTTCTACACATTCGATAGTAAGATTCGATCTCGAGAACGAAAGGTAATTTGTAAACGAGTATTATATTTTTTTAAAAATAAGTATACTAAAATACAATTTCTGTTTATATCAGTCTGATTTTTTTTTAATATGAGAATTTTAGGAAATGGCGTTTATCGTGTTTGTTGAAAGGTGATTACGCTGCAACTTTTCTTCGAGAGATGGAAGGATGTAAACAAGATGCCGTTATTTGCATCATGCGTTTTGCGAAAATAATTATTCGAAGAGGTATTTTGTTAGTTTTTGTTATGAGTTAAATGTATATTATATATGATAACTATTATTATTTTTTTTTGATAATACAGGATGTTTATTGGCTACTACATCATATGATTGCACACAAGTTATTCTGAAATCACGATGCTTCGAGGCCTATCAATTTAAAGAGCTAATATCTGGTCCTTAATAGATGATGATAATAGCTGTTTTTCTACATCGCAGATTTATAGTGTTTCTATATTAAATTTCTAAATTTAAATTTAAATTTTATGGTTTGTGATATTCATCGAGTTTTTCTAACTGTAAGAAATTTTGATTTTATTGTCTCTATCGCAATGTGTACCAGTTACAATTTTTAATTTATAGTATTATGTATGAGATTTGATATTCTAAACTATTCCCAAAATCATTGGATCTCAAAGAATAGTACCTAAAATGATTACATTAGAAATAAAAATTTTGTTAGATAATCAATATTTAGTATATAAGTAATCGAGATTTGGTGATATATACCAAAATGTTAGTTATGTATCTTCATGGTTGTAATAGTAATTTCGTATATGATCCTATATTTGTTGTTATTTCTATAATATTTCTTTAATAATTCTAAACTTAGATTATCATAACATTCTTTCTGGCAACTAGAGTAAAAGTCATGCGCCAGCCTATCATATCATTGCTCTTATTAGAATGTTTCCATCTTTTTCTTCCTTGAAATCTTGATATGCAGTACGGACACCTTTTTCTTATTACTAAAAAAATACTTACCAAAATTTTAAAACTTCTTTAGAATTTCTCAGTATATGGTTATTTCTTTAATATTATATATACCTATAAATATGTATATAGGTAAAACCAGTATATATATTAATTAAATCTGTATGTGTTGTCAAAATAATTTTTAATCTCTTTATTGTTTATTACTTTATTGTATTGAAGGATAATAATATCTTTATTGTTTATTACTTTATTCTGTTAAAGGATAATTTCTTTAACGTGTTTAGGATTTCGTTATATTAATAAAAATATTCCTGTCTGCACTGTTCTATATTATCATATATATATATATATAATTACTTTATTGTATTGAAGGATAATAATCTTTTTATTGTTTGTTACTTTATTCTGTTAAAGGATAATTTCTATAATGTGTTTAGGATTTCGTTATATTAATGAAAATATTCTTGTTTGCACTGTTCTGTATTATCATATATATATATATATATTCCTTTTATACTACATTGTCTATAATTTTAAAATTATATATAACTACTTTAGGTATTTGGAAATATTCTTCTTATAATTTTTAGTGTTATCCTAAATTATTCCATTTTAAAGGTGTATATTCAATGAGTTTCCTTTATCTATAATCTTTAAAATATTAAATTTTATAACCTAATTATTTTATGTTATGGCGGTTCTTATACTATATATAGACATACATATTCTATTGAGTTACCTACAACTTTTTTCATCGTCTTACTACTTCCTTGGTCTTTGTTCGATGTCGATTTTTAAAAGAAAGTCGTCGATTTTGGTTCTCATTCGTGAGCTCAATCCAATTTCAGATAGCTATGTGATAAATGTTAGGGTTCTTAAAATTTGGGATGGTTTCAAAGGCAAGGGTGGGTCTTCACTCGAGATGGTGTTAGTTGATCGAGAGGTGTGTTTAGTATTATTAATATATATTTTTAATCGGTATCGTTAGTATATTTGTATCGTGATTCTTTTCTTATTCATATTTTTTTTGTGTGTGTTATATATCAGGGTGATAGGATTCATGCTTCTGTTGAGAAAGAATTTTTCAAGACTTTTCGTAAGGATTTGGTTGAAGGACAAGCAATAACTATAAACACTTTTAAGGTTGTTGACTATAATAGTGACTTTCGAAGCGGTCGTTCACTTTACAAAGATCGTCTTTTATGCTACAACTATTGTTGAAAAGTGCAAAGACTTCCCAACTGAGGTTCCTGATAAATTTTTAAAGAGTTTCCCTGAAATTTTATCAAAAGATCTTGATAATAGTTTTTTGATTGGTATGTTCAGTTATTTTTTAAAAACAATTCTTTCTTTTGTTTATATATATATATATATATATATATAAATCTTGGTTTTTTAGATATAATTGGTCAGATCATTCGTGTTGGTCATGTTGAGAATGTTGTGGCTCAAGGAAAGCGACGTTTTCGACTCAAAGTATCTCTCAGAAATACAAGGTCAGTTCATGGTTTTTAACGTTATAATTATCCCCCATTATTTCTCTTATATACCTTATTGTTGTGACTGATGGGTTGTTTTTTTTCTTGCTTATATGAATATTATGTTTGATGCTAGTCTTTTTATGTATCAGTGATCTACAGCTACAGTGTACTCTCTGGGGTGATTATGCGAAACAAGTGTCTGATTATGTTAAGCGTAACTCTGCATCAGTTGTTTTGATTTTGATTAGACTTGCTTGCATCAAAGAGTACCGTGGTGCGTTTTTGACTTAGTTTTCTTAACGTTGTTATTTGTTAATATTCAATTAGTGATTTTTTATATAGGTGAGGTTAGTGTTTCGAATGCATTCAGTACGACTCTCATCTTGATGGATCCAGTTACAACATACGCAACTAGATTTCGATCAGAGTATGTCCCTTTTAATATTTTTAATATATATTGGGTTAATTGTACAAAACATCTAGCGTAATTTTCATAATTGTTAATTCGTTTGTTCTAGGTTGCCAAATAATAGATATATACTTACACCAGTCGAAGAGGAAGCTTCTAAGGATTCTGATGAGGTTTTGATTGAGGATTTTTTTGGTGATAATATCTATAGGAGAACGTTAGATGGTGTTCACAATGCCAGCAGGGTATATCTTTTTGTTTTATCTTCTTTTTTTTTGTAACTTTTTTTTATTTAATTTGTTATGTTTCTGATATATTCGGGATGTAATTGTGATTTGTAGGTTGGCAAGTACGTGACATTGGTTAGTGTGACTTCGATAGGCAATAGTAATAGTTGGTATTACATTGCATGCAAAACTTGCAATAAAAAGGTTTATCCGATTCCACAGAAGACCAGTGATATTGGCCCTCCTTTGTGGAAATGTGTGAACTGTTTGAAAAATGTTTTAGAGGTCACTGCTTGGTAAACATTTTTATGTTTTTATATAGTAAGAATAACGTATTAAATTTATATTGATGATATTTTTAGAGTATTGTATAATGAGAACTGATTTCTTTTGTTGTTTGTAGCTTTTTTCTTATGTTGAATGTCACCGATGGCGATGGTGGTTTGGCAGTCTTTCTTCTTTTTGATCAACATGCTCAAAGGTTATTTAAGAAGACAGCTGAAGAAGTTTACGAAGAGTTAGATGGGGTATGTTTTATATAGTTTTGTACTTTTGTTAACGTGTATTTGTAGTATTTTAATTTTTTTTTTTTGTTTTAATGGTGAATGATGATTCATCTGCTCTCCCGACTACTTTAAGAGATTTATCTGGCAAGGAGTTTCTTTTCAGAATATCAGTGTCCGATGATAATATCAATAAGATTAAAACTTCATTTGTTATTGACAAGTTTACGACAGAGGATCGTTTATTTGAAATCTTCCGTGATCAGGTCTATTCACGGGTATGAGTTTTGATATATTAATTAATGAGATTTTCAGTCTATACTTTATTTGTCTGAGATAATATTCCTGTTTGTAGGCACCAATTTCTTTGTCAAGTTCTATAGAAGAATCTGAAAGTTCTCCTATCTCACCATCTACTCCAGTCTAAAAAAGGACGAATGCTGATATAAGTAGAGGTTCTAATTCATCATCTAGACCAACGAGGAAAGGAAAAAAAAACATAATGTTGATCGTATAACTTCGTTATATGATTCATTGGGTCTTGATTTCGTATTTTTATGTTTCTTTATTAAGGATTTATTACTTAGACTATTTATTTATTTTTATTTTTCATTAGTGTTTTAAATTTGGTTTAAATAAAACTTGAGATATTTTTGATTGGCGTTGTATCGTCATGATTTGAATTGGGTTTGGTTCCATTGATGATATACATGATAATTTTATATATGAGAAAAATAATTTAACAATCAATCAAAATATTTTTTATTATTAATTATGTTATATGTAATGATAAATACATAACATAATCATCGATATATACAGTCAAACTTTCTATACGCTTATCATATATATAAGTTTTTTCATTTGTAGTTTACTTTTAAGATTCCATTTGATACAATCGTTTTATATGTTTGTTATTCAGAGACTTCATAATGTTGGAAAATTATCTTCAAAATATCTGTATTTCATGAGTGTCTACGATTCTGTATTTTGTCGATGGTTTTAATTGATTAAGCAGAAGAATTTTGTGGCATGCACTAGCTTAATGTGATGATTGTATACTCCAGAAACTATTATATTTTTTTTTATTATTTTTGATTCGGTATGCTCGCGTATCTCGCTTGCGTGTTTGTTTAGTACACCAGATGCATTAAATTTTATTCTCTCATATTGCATACTGCTAATGTCTCGAAAAAATATATTAATGGATGAAAAGATGCCTTTGACAGACAATTGTTGTCATTTAAAATAAAACCTATAAATAAATTAATTCTTTATTTTAATAATACATATTCAATGTTGTATATTTCCATAAATTTATTAGGTTAAAAAAGGAAATAACTGTCTAGAATGTAACGCGTATATATATGTGTACTCTTTACTTCTTTTTTTACTTTTCCTTTTGTGTTCTTGACAGAGAAAAAAAAAATGTCTGATGTTGTTGATATCTCTAGGTTAGATTTTTACACCACCAGCGGTGAAGTTCGTGTGCAAGTTGTTCGACTCTGGAAGAATGTAAATTTCTTTGGTGATACAATTGAGATAATTCTCGCTGACGATCAGGTATTTTATTATATAGTTGTTATTTCTTTATATATTTCAGAGGGTTGTTTTTAAAAGCAACTTTTCTTTTGGATTTTTACACTTGATCTTATGCGAAATCGATCTTAGGGTCATCGTATCGCCGCAACTGTCATGCCCGATGAAATCCCTCTGCATGGACCTGTACTTAAACAAGGTTACTGGTTTAGGGTTCGTCGATTCGTTGTTAAGAAGGCCAGTGGTTCGATTTGCATAACTGTAAACAGGCATCGGTTTATTTTCGGATCTCATACAGTCGTGATTCCTATATCTCCAGCAACCCATAATCTACACTTGGATCTCAATTGCACACGCTTATTTGATATCGTGACTCGCGGATTAGATTTTGGGTTTTTAATTGGTAATATTGGTAATCATCTGTTAGTTTTGTGACAATTTTAGTATAATATATCATTTAGTTAATATCACTTTTTTTTTGGTATCCTGTATAGATGTAATGGGAACCGTGTTGAAGATGGGTGATCTCCGTGAGATCAACAGCGATGCTTATGAGGATAATGCAACATATGTTCGATTCGAACTTCTTGATGCAGGGTAAGATCTATGAGTTTATATTCGTATGTCGTTTGTTTATGAAAAAAAAAACAATGTATCGTTTTGGTTTTATGACATCTAAACTGGATGAACCTTTTTTGTTCTATTTTAATCAATTAGGAGGGAGTGTTTATTGCCATGTATCGCCCGTGAGAATTTGGCTAAGAATCTGCATAGTGTTTATCAGCGTAATCAAAGTGAATCAGTGGTGTTTGTGCTGAGGTTTTGGAAAATGACTAATGGTCAAGGTAGGTTTTTATTCATTTTTTAGGATTTTAAAATAGCTTATCTTGCATTCTTCTAATTCTGATTCATAAAATTAATGATAGGTGTTGATAAGGATTCGGTTGTCCTGTGCTCTTACCCTCCTTGCTCTGATTTCCTGTGTAGTCCTGTTGATGACGAGATTGATGATTTCAGGGCTAAGTAAGTGTTAAATTTATTTTTTCTTTATTGACATATTTTGTTAGTTGATTTTAGATATATTGATCTAACATATCGATTTTTTTTTTTTTTTTTTGTAGTCGATACCGCCTTAACTAATGCACCATCGATGGAATGTCAATTCTTTATCTTTCTTTTTAATGTTTGTAAATATATGATATTATGATACTTATTAAGTGATATCGGTTGTTGTTAAATCTACTATTTCAGTTTGACTCTATGCATACTGCATTATGTCTTATTTATATTATGAATGTTATGAATAATATCGTTACATCGTCTTTAGTGTTTAGAATAAATCTGTATATCAATGGTTTTTTAGTGTTTTCGTCTTTTTTGGTGATATCCGATTGTTTTTTAGTATATAATCTAATTTTTATTTTGGTTATATTTACTTTTTATATATATATATATATATGCTTAAATCCTATCTTTCTTAGCATTATGGTTTTAATTAGTTTTGAATATATCTGTGAAAAAATAATACGAGTTTATTGATGAAAATATGTATTTTTTATTTTTAGAAAAAATGAGCTGAATCTTAAATATTTTAAAATTCGTTTCACTCGATGTCATTTGTTAAAAAAAAAATTTTGCAGGAAATTTTACAAAACATGATTTTTTAAAAAATGGCGTTGTATGGTGATTTGAAAAGGTGATTTGTAAACTATAGTCTACTCAAAGGGCTAAGTATTCATTGCGTTTTTGAAAAAATATCTGACAACTTCTGATAGATTTGAATTGATGGATATCTATAGTTTTTGATATATGTATATCTATAATGTTTGGTAGATGTATATCTCCAATATATAATAAACTTATCCAAAACAAAATCTTTGTTTATCAATTGTTTATACAAAATAAATTTAAAATACTAACTAATATTATGATTTTGTGTAATATATATATATATTTATATATATCTAATATATATATATTTATATGTTATATATGATAAACTGAAATTTGTTATTTAATGACTGGTGCACTGACCGTGACAGTTATTTTAATTTCAAAAAAAAGTTATTTGGTTTTCATATACTGTATTTTCTCTATTTAATATTTTATTTTTCTGGTATATTTTTTATTCTGGTGTGTATATATTCAATAAATTGTAAAACATTTTACATAGAAGAGCTTCCCCAAAATATAATTTTTTTTAGAGAATCTTTTCTAAAAAGCGTTTATGATTTTGTTGGTATTATGACAGGCTAGATAGAATATTTTCGGTCAGTCTTTCGTTGATATACGTATAGTCTGATAATACAATATATTAATATTAATAATTTATTAATAATTTAGTATATTAATATCTGTTAACCGAGTATTGTAAACTACTTATTATTATTATATTTTCGGTAATGATTATCTTTTTACATAATATATGGTTTATGGGAATCGTTTATCGTTTACATGTGGTTTAGGCATTAAATTATCTATATAATCAAAAATGTTAAAATTGAATATTTATATAATTAAAAATGTTTAAAGTACTAAAACCCTTAAATTTGTAACATTATATATATATATATGTATATGTATTCATGTCCATTAGGTTAATTCATCGTCCTAGGTCTATTGTTTCGTTGCGTCTCTTTTAATGGAGTTTCCAGGTTTTTAATTCTTATTTCCTTTAATTTGTAGCCTATTTTTATTCATCACACAATTCTCTCAAATCTGTATTTGTTATTCTTCACATTGAGAAACTGAGATGACGACTTTTTTTTTGGTATATGAGAGTTTCTTTCTTATTTTTGTGGATTTCTAATAGACAATGGTTTTCATGGAAGAGGCAAAGTGGAGATTCTACCTTTTCATTTACCTCCCTCAAAGAACGTTTTCTCATCCGACGTAGATTTACCAGTTTCAGAAACAGAAACAAAAACTAAGTTTTCAGCTTGGATGGTGTGTAACCAGGACTCTCCTAATGCCCGAGAGCTCTTATACTCTGAAATACCAAAAGACTTTGTTTGAGATCGTATATGAAAACTTTGGAAGCCACATATTCGTTCTACGTTAAGTAGGTTTATGGTTGATCGTTGTAGCGTTGATGATGGTGAACTTTACTACCTGCGTCTTTTGTTGGGTGTCGTGAGAGGACCATGTTCTTATGAAGATATCAGGACTGTTGAAGGTGTTGTTTATCCTACATTCAAAGATGCATGCAAAGAATTGTTTTTGATTTGATGAAATTCGTCAAACTTTTTTTTCATATGAAGTTTGTGTTTTAAGAACTGATCCATTTATATCGTGGAATAGTTCATTGTTTTTTTTTTTTAGTTGTAACTTTCTGGAATTATTAATATGAATCATATTTATTATATGAATAAGCTAACGAGTTTTATTTATCTTATGAATAATATAAGCTAATAAGTTATGTTTAGAAAAGGAAACAATGTATATATAAATTGTTTAATATGATAAAATAAACTAAAGAATATGTTAAACCGTTGACAACTCTTTGATGCTTTACAAATATATAATCTCATATTTAACACTTTTACACATTACCAAAGTTTTTTTTTTAGTATTATAATCGAGAAAAGGAAAAATAGAATGCATCACCTTACGATCGATCTTAATAGAAAATATTGAGAACTGGAATATATGGAGTTTTATAGGATGTATCAAAAATGTACATTGTTCGGCAAATGGAAAAAAATCTTATTTTTAGAAATATTTAAGATTAGCACAGATTCTGAATCATTAATCTATAAATATTTTTGGTTATACGGAAAATATAAAAAAAAAAATCTAAATTAGTTAACATAAATGTATATTATATAATATAATGATATATATGTATATATATTTATATACATGGATAGAAAATTATTGTGTACTTCTGTTATCAAAAATCAGAATGAAACGCAAAGCTAGGTCTGATGATGCTGACTTCCTGGTTTCTTCATCTGTATAAAAAAAAAGTGAGTTATGGTCGATGTCACGTGTTTATTGGTATGGAAAAATATCAAAAATTGTAATTATTTAATTAAGGAGATTGGAGTGCAAGAAACAAAAGATATGCCCCAACCAAAGCTGGAGATAGTTACCAAACTGGTCGAGGAATTGGTCAATTCTACGTTGATGAGAGAGATTTATCCTTGGAAGGTTTTCGTGCTGCGAGGAAGAGAAGAAAGATTATAATGAGAGATAAGAAAGCCTTAAAACAAGATATTGGTTTGATTTATAATTTGTTCTGAATCATATATTTTGTTTTATCAAATTAATTATCAACAAATTAATAGTTGTATTAAACTTTTATTATCTATGATCTTCTTTGTAGATTCCTTGCTTGATTCTTACAACAGTGACAAGTTTGCTTGCTTTATAGCTACTGATTCTGATTCTGAAAGAGAAAACGATGAAGATAGCGAGTTAGAAGAACAATTGGCCGATATTGTCGTGCCACAAGGAGAGACTACCGATGTTTCTCCTGTTAATAAAAAAAGTTCTACGTCGAGGAAAGGAAAAAGGGCAACCAATAATGATATTGCTACCGCAGATGAACCAGTTGTTCGGACCGACATAGTCTCAATTGTAAAACCGGGATTAGATGTTAAGGGTATTATTTAAGATTTATTAATTAACTTTTTATATTGGTTTTTTTAATTGAATTCTTAAATTTTTATTATTACATAATAAAATCTTTTTTTTAGGTTATTATGATGACGGTGATCCTATTTATATATGTGAGTTTTGCAAAGCTTATATGTGGTATGGAGAAAGGTTGGCAAAAAGGACTACACGAGCTAAACCCAAGTTTTCAACATGCTGCATGCAAGGCAAAGTTGTTCTTCCCTTGATTAGGGCTCCACCACAATCTCTATTATCATATTTATACAATGTTGGTGATGAAAGGTCTCATTTTCGTTACCATATCCGTGCATATAACATGATGTTTTCTTTTATTTCGCTTGGAGGAAAAGTTAACAACTCAATCAATGATGGAAAATGGCCATATGTTTTCCAGCTATGTGGTGAGAACTATCACTCAATAGGTGATATGATACCGGCTCCTGGTGCGAATCCAGCATTCCTGCAACTTTTGCATACACGACACCGCAAATGAAACATCCAACAGAATATCTACATATGGGTAAGAAAAATTATGTTTGTTTTTTTACTGCTGTTTTTTGGTTTTTAAGATTTAAAAAGTTCTAACGAATTGTTATTTTGATTCGTTTGTTTTTGGTGATAAAGGACGTACGGTTGGTTCCACTTCAGCATTAAGAGAATCGGTTGTTCAAACACTTAAAAAAATGTTGGATAGACATAATCATCACGTCAAAGCTTTCAGGACGGTACGAGATAAGTTTGGAAGTCTTGGGGATACCAGTGGTTTACAGTTAACACTAGTATATGATAGAACATCCGATGGACGTACTACTAATTTGCCAACTGCAAAAGAAGTTGCTGCGTTGGTACCTAATGGATTTTGATGTTGGAATCAAAACACGAGATATAGTTATTGAAAGTATGTCTGGAAGATGGAAGAGAATCAGTGAATTGCATCCTGCTTATTTGCCTTTACAATATCCATTGTTGTTTCCATATGGTGAAGATGGATTTAGACTCGGTATAGATATTGGATATGTAGATAAGAAGGGGAGAAAAAGTTTGCAGATTACTATGAGAGAGTTCTTTGCTTTTTGGGTTCAAGAGAGGTTTGGAGAATCTCCAACAATTGTAATGTCCGGAAGATTGTACCAACAGTTTTTGGTTGACGCGTTCACGATGATCGAGTCGAATAGACTTCGCTTCATATCAATGAATCAACAGAAACTTCGATCCGAGACTTTCGATAATATAAAGGATGCCACTGATAAAGGGAATTCCGATCTTTCTGAGAAAGGTAGAAGAATTTTCATTCCTGCTTCTTTTACTGGTGGTACAAGATATATGCTCCAACATTATCTGGACGCTATGGCCACATGCAAACATTTTGGATTTCCAGATCTGTTCATCACGTTCACGTGTAATCCAAAATTGCCTGAAATTACTAGGCATTTACAAAGACATAATTTGAAAGCAGAAGATAAACCAGACATATGCGCTCAAGTATTCAAAATGAAACTTGATGATATCATGTACGAGCTAACTAAAAAAAATGTCTTGGGAGTTGTAAATGCTGGTACGCTCTATTTAAATGTGAATCTATATTGATGATATTTGAATATGATTTTTGATACCTAATTTATTTTTTATGTTTTTACGTGTTTTATGATAGCAATATATACAATAGAGTTCCAGAAGAGAGGACTTCCTCATGCTCATATCTTTTTTTTTTTGAGGCCCGAAGATAAACTACCAACTGGTGATGATATCGACAAGTTTATATGTGCTGAGATTCCTGATAAGGAAACTGATCCTCATCTATATGTAATTATTGGTGATGTGATGATGCACGGACCATGTGGTGCTTTGGATAGGGATAGTGTTTGTATGGCTGATGGTAGATGTACCAAATTTTTTCCAAAGGCATTTAGTCCTGTTACTAAAGTTGATGATGTTGGATACCCGATATACAGGAGACGTGAAGACAAGAAATTTGTAACGAGGAAAGGATTCAATTGTGACAATGGTTATGTGGTTCCGTATAACAGAGAACTTTCTATTCGATATCGAGCTCATATTAATGTGGAATGGTGTATACAATCGCGTTCTGTCAAGTATCTTTTTAAATATATTCATAAAGGAGCTGATTATGTTCGCGCAGTAGTAGGCAAGGATGACGAAGATGATGAAGTTAAGAAGCATTTCAACTGTAGGTATGTTTTCTTGCAATTTTCCTTATTTATCTTATCAATGAAGTCTTCAAAACCATCATTGATATTTACTGTATGTTATGTTTAGATATATATCACCTGGCGAGTCTATATGGAGGATCGAGGGTTATGATACACATAGTCGTACAGTTTCTGTGACAAAACTCCCGTTTCATCTGCCGAATCAGCAATTAATTATGTACAATGAAGATGATCCTGCTGAAGAAGTGGTTGAACGTGTTACCATTGGTATCTCCAAATTCATGGCTTGGATGGAATGTAATAAAGAGTATGAAGAAGGTAGGTCTTTAACTTACGTAGAGTTTCCACATAAAGTTGTTTTTGATAAAAAGTTAAGGAAATGGAACCAAGGAAGAAAGGGAAAACTATTGGAAGGATCACCTATGTTCCTATGTCTGTAGGAGAGGCTTATTATTTGAGGCTCTTGCTCAATATAGTTATAGGTCCAACGTGTTTCGAAGATATAAGAACAGTTAAAGGGCATCATTATGATACATTCAAAGAAGTTTGCTTTGTCCTTGGGTTACTCCATGACGAAAAAGAATACATTGAGGCTATAAAAGATGCAAGTTTATGGGTTAGTGCAATAACTATGCGTAGGTTGTTTGTAATTATGCTGACTACAAGAAGTGTTTCGATGCCTTCGAGAGTTTGGGATGCTACTTGGGATATTTTATCCGAAGACGTGTTATACTCAATAAAAAATTCAAAAAAAATCAGGTCAGTTTTTTAATCAATACTAAAATAATTATTTGTTTAACTATTTCACGTGATATGCTATATATTCATATTTATGTTTGGGTTACTGATTTGCAGATCTTAGGCTGTCTACTGACCAGGTTAAAAACTTTTGCTTAGCTGAGATAGAGATACTTCTGCGTACTGCTGGAAGTTCTCTTACAGATTTTTCATGTATGCCGTATTCAGATGATTTGGATATGACTATACGCGGTAATCCTCTTATTCGTGATGAAAGAAGTTATGATCGAGATTATTTGCGAGTTAGACATGATGAGTTTTTTACCATGATAACTGATGAACAACGACTTATCTATGATGAGATTCTAGAAGCTGTTTATTCAGGCTCTGGCGGAAGGTTTTTTGTTTATGGTTCTGGTGGTACCGGAAAAACGTATCTGTGGAGCTTATTAGAGGCCGCGTTACGTTCAAAAGGTGATATTGTTCTGAATGTTGCATCAAGTGGAATTGCTGCTTTGTTATTGCAAGGAGGTCGAACGGCCCATTCGTGATTTGCAATTCCAATTGTTGTTAATCGTTTTACGACGTGTGCAATCAAATCTCAATCAAACCTTGCAGAACTGATCGATGCATCTAAACTGATAATATGGGATGAAGCATTAATGATGAGTAGGGATTGTTACGAGACATTGGATAGAACCTTGAGAGATATATTAAAATGTGACAAGCCTTTTGGTGGTAAAGTTATCGTTTTTGGTGGAGATTTCAGGCAAATTTTGCCTATTATTCCAAACGCAGGCAAAACAGAGATTCTTATGGCTACTTTAAATTCATCTCCCCTTTGGTTTGGATGTAAAGTGTTGAGGCTTACACGTAACATGCGACTAATCCCTGGAGACAACAGTCGTGAGATGTATGAGCTAGCATCTTTTACAAGGTGGATTCTTGATATTGGAGAAGGAAAAATAAATCCGAGTGATAGCGGGGAAAGCGAGATAGATATTCCGAGTGAACTATTGATTAATGATTGTGAGAATCCGATTAAAGCTATTGTTGATGAAGTTTATGGACAGGATTTTCACAAAAAGACTGATCCTGAGTTCTTTCGGGATATGGCTATTTTGAGTCCAAGGAATGATGATGTTGGGCTTATAAATGATTACATGTTATCACAATTAAAATGTATACTTAAATAGTTAATTTTTTGAAATGTTTTATTATTTTCGTCTTTATTAATGTTTTAGATATTTTTTATTTGTAATGCTGATGATCGTTTTGCATATAACAGGTGAGGAACGAACCTATTTAAGTTGTGATAGTATTGATCCCTCTGATAGAGAAATTGATACGAATGATGCATCTGAAATTCTCTCTCAGAGTGTTCGCTCAGACAGCAAGAACGATCCGGGTAATATGATATATACAGAAGAGTTTCTAAACAGTGTCAAAGTTTCTGGTTTACCCAACCATTGTTTGCGTTTAAGAGCCGGTACTCCTGTTATGTTGCTGAGGAATATTGATCCTAGGAATGGTTTGTGTAATGGAACTAGGCTACTTATTACTCAGATGGCCAATTATGTCCTAGAGGCTATAATAATAACTGGTGACAAAATAGGAGAGAAAGTTCTTATTCCTAGGATATTTTTTATCTCCGACAGAGACTAAATTTCCTTTCAGAATGAGGCGCATACAGTTTCCAATTACCCTTGCTTTTGCGATGATGATAAACAAGAGTCAGGGTCAGACACTTGCTAAAGTTGGATTGTACCTGCCTAAACCAGTCTTTACACATGGTCAACTGTATGTTGCTGTTTCGCGGGTAACATCCAAATCAGGACTAAAAATCTTAATCACGGACAAAGACAAAAAGTCTCAAACGAAGACATTAAATGTTGTATACAAGGATGTCTTTGATAATATTTAGTCGCTTTGTTGTTTTTGTGGTATTGCTTTTCTCTGTTCTATTGTTGTTTTAAAACTCGATCAGTATTTATTTGATTCTTGCTTAACAATAAGATAAATTTATTATCTATGAGTTATATTTTAAGGTTGGATTAGATTTAGATACAAAAATAATTCACTATTTATTTACTGATTCACTTTTTATTTAATGAATTTATTGATTTTATATATATCATAATAATCATATAATAATATCATCAAATAATATATCATCAAATATCATAAAGGTGAGAAGTCAAAAATATTACATAAATATGGCCATTCAAAGTTTTTTTAAGTACTAACCATAAAATATAATATTGTAGCAAGAAAATTTTAAAGAAAATATAGTTCACCATCAACTATATTCTCAACTTTCTCTTCCCCTTCCCATTCTTCACCTTCTTCTCTGACTACAAGACAAAACATATAAAAATAACGGTTATATCAAGTAATTTCCTAAAAGTTCTCTATAATTTAATGAAATATTTAACTGTTTACCCATTCCGCTGTATCCATATGCCTGATCTCTCTCTCAACGAATCCACAATTTATGCATTTTAAACCTATTTCGAGATCTAGCCACAGTTCATATTTCCCTCTTTTACAGCGCGATTTTGAAGATTCATCAGTTGATATCTCATTATCAGTTTATAGAGAGATATTACAAACAAAAACAATGGTTATACAGTCTAAAATCATGGATCTCTCATCGAAAATATATTATTAATTAAATATGAATGAAAGTATAACTTACTTCTTTGATAGTCGGTGTGACTTTTTCATTTGGTTTGCTTTGCGATTCCATTTCTTCCCAAATCATATTTAGTTCGATCTCCCAATCAGATGGCATAGGTGGTGACTTAGGTTCATCCTCACCGAAACGTATTCTCAATGGTGCTGGTGTGATTATGAGAAGTCCATTTTCATCGTATTTCTTTTGTTCTTTGTTCTCCATTTTTTTTTGGTTTGGTTTGCTAATAAAGAATGGTAAAAGCAGAGACGTTTTGAAGACCTTTGGGTTTGTAATATATTCAATTTTCTCAAGTTTCAATGTTTTTGGGGGAAATACTATTTAGTATTTACACAACGACTTTGAGTCTTTGACTTTAACTGATATCTCATTATATAATTTAATGCAATCAAAACTACAAACAATACTTTATCGTGATATATATTATAACACAGAAAATCTGAATTACAAAAACAATAGATAAAAAATATATATATTGTAATTTGATTTCTAAATAAAACTTTATTCTATCATAGATAATCCCACCTCAGTATTTTTATATAAGTTACAGACCATATTCATAAAGTAAAAGTTATCCACTATTCTCATAAAGTATGATAGACGTCTACTTATTATTACCTTTTCCAAGAAGATATTGATACTTACAAAAATAACAATTTATATTATTTTATGAGAAATATCAAAATAGACTCCTTATTACGTACATAAATTAGTGGTTTAGGATAATTATCCCGTAGAAGTTTTCATTTCAATTGATTTTATTCCTTTTCTTTTTGGGGTTAAATCTTAAGACAAATTAGTTAAGCAAGTTTTGAAATTTAATTTATGACGTAATGTAAAATTTACATATAGTTTGGACTGTGATGTGTTTTTGAAGATATTTACAAATATTTAATGAGTAATATTCGGAATATTTACATTTTACGAATATATTTTTATGTTGATTTATGCATATATATATATATATATATGTACTTTGTTCACGATCTTCAAGAAAGATTAACATCGAGTGATGGCAAATTATGATTTTGTTCGAACACTGAGCTCACGGAGATCTGATTGGAAAATCGTGGTAAAAATATTGAAAAAATGGAAGGTGGATTATTCATGTAGTAAGAGAAGCTTAAATTTGATCGTTGTCGACGAACATGTATTTTAATTATGTTTCGTGATATTTATATATATATATACATGTATTATTATTATTCTGATTACGATATTTTGATTTGTTTGTATATTGATGTAGGGTTCTAGAATACATATTCGGACAAATAACCAAATGATGGACTATTTCGATCGGAATTGTATAGAAGAACAATGGATCATCATGTTATCTGGATTTCTTTTGAATCCTTATAATTGGAGAACTGTCGTAAATATTACGAAACATGATTATGTTATTACTTTAACGAAAAATACTATCCTTTTACCGGTTCTACCGATAACAAACAATTCCATAATTTTATCTCTTTCTTATCAATTTATGAGTACCCAAGTGAGCATTATTATTTGATTGGTGAGTTTGATTTTAATTTTGAAATATAAAAGAAAATTAATTGTTTTAATTCATCGTTTTGATTTGGTTTAATTGTAAACTCAGATTTGATAGGATTGGTCGAAGATGCTAGGTACTTTACTATCACGTATCCAGATGGTACGACGAGGGCATCAATTCGGTTTCGTATCATAGACGATGAGTAAGTCAATTTACCTATATTTTCTATATTTAATTAGTTCTTAATAAATTTGTTTGTCAAAACATAGGGATGTAATGCTTGAGTGTATTGCGCATGGTGCGTTAGCATCTGAGATAAATGAAACGTGGTGGAGTCTAAAGGACCTTTTCCTATTTGTGTTTTAACGGATTGGTGCGTCATAATTAACGGGGGTATGTGTTCTGATGCTACGATTTTTTTGTTTTATAATTAAAGTTTTATAAACTAAAACGAATCAAATTATGTACGTTTTTAGAGAACGTGATTATCCAAGATCATGAAGAACATGGTTTATCCCGTTTTGACGTTGTTCCAGAAATCAATCAAGTATCCATTTTAAAATCCAAGTAAGTAGTTTTATTGATAATATTTATATTTGAATTAAAGGAATAACAATATTTCAGGATAATAAATAAGTAGGTTGATTGATATACCTTTAAAATCAATATTTCAGGATTTGGAACAGGATGAATTATTTGGATGCAGCTGATATCTTATTGCCCTAATCTACTATATTGATTAGTAATTAATAATGTTTTCAATATCAATCATACTATTAATGTGTTATCTTATTATTTTCTAATTTTATTATGTATAATAATTCTTTCATCTAATTAAAGGGTTTTAAAATTCAGAATAATGAGAAAAAAAGTCAAACAGAAGTGTCAAACAAAATAAAGGAAAACATAAAATGAAATTGATAGATTCAATGGCTAGGAAAAACAGGTGAGTGATAAAAAAAGTAGCCATCTTCAATGTTGTTAAAATCATCTGTGTAGTCAAGCATGCAAGAACAAGATAAATAATGAGTCGAATATTCAACAATTTTGTTTAGGAAATTTACAAAATGATAACGGTGAACAATGCTTACATAAAACGAGAATTTTCGACTTCAGGAATTGGAGGATCGAAAAATATTTCAGAGAATTCTCGATCAGAACAAACACGTATTTCATCTGTACAATATGGAAACTTATATTAGCTACAATTAATATAAGTTGATATATGGTTGGTCGATAGAATGAGAAATAACCTCCATATCGACACATCTCCCAAAATCTCAATACACAGAAAACGATTTTGCGACGAGGAGTGTTTTTCCATAAGCTTCTCTTCCCCACGCTATGCAATTGATGTCGAC